ATTGTAGGTACAATTCATGTTTATATGTCTAAAAGATATCTTTACCATAATGTATATTTACCTTACTTTATGCTAATCTGTGTACAATCTAATTAGTAAAAATAAACATATGGTACTAAAACAGTCGGTTTAAATATAATATTAAGCAAATTACAAGTAGATTTTACAAATAAACACAGCAAGCCCAAATTAACATAGAGCCAACACGAAAGTAAATCATATTATTTGCAAAAAGAATTATCAAAATCGGCCAAAAAAATATAGATGACTAGTGATTCCGCCCGGCTCTTCGACAACAAAATATAATAGCCTATATAACTGGCTAATAATGTAGTTTTCTGTAGGTGCAAGAATTTCTAAAATTGGTTGAGTATTTTTTTCATATACATGTATATAGGATGCTACCAAATCATCTACATTTGCTTTAAAGGGATATAGTATTATGTATATATATGTTACGATTGTGATAAAATTTCGTATCTCAAATGTCTTAAAAATAGAAGTTAATTAAAAAGTAAATAAAAAGAAATTTTTAATATATTTTATTATATTTTACATTTGAATATATTTGAAACTGGAGTATATATTATATTAGACTTAATGCTAAATTTGATAATGGGTACATTTTTACTACATTTATGTAAGGTACACTTGCTATATAGCTTTATTCGTTATATGTGTCCAAAAACTTTAATTGTGTTAGCATAAATTGATAGAGAGGAATATAATAAGATAGGTAGATAGATAAATAATTTATTTGCATTACTTACAGCAAACATACAGCAACAGACACAAATACAAAATGAAAAAAGATAAAAAAAACATACATGTACAAAAAATTAAAAAAAAAAAAAAAAAACAAAATCAGAATGCATAAAATTAGTAATAATTTAATAAAATAGTAATAAAATTATTATTTTATAATAATAACAATACATTGTTACTTTGACCACAATTAAAGGGATAAGGCAAGGTTATGTGATCATCTAATGTTTACATGTTCACGGTTCCCGCAGATAAAAGAATACTTACGTCATTCAACGTTATGGTAATAATGGGGCGGGAAGGTGAAAACTGTAATTATATAAATCTATCTATAATACACGTAATCAAATCTAAAGAAGAACGTGTTGTTTTGTATATTATATGTACAATATATGCGATATTTTTTTTATATTGTTCGACGGCTCTAGATGCAAATCTTTTTAAGTTGTTATCCGATATCGTCAATATCGTCGTCTTTTGAAGATTATTGATTGTAAAAAAAAAAAATATTAAAAAATATTTGATTGACTACTCGAATAAAATGTCTGCATATCAACTGCATATATATACATGTTAAACATTACCAATAGGTAGATACGAGTATTATCTGGTGCAATGCATACTCGACTTTATAATTGTTTGCATTAGTCATGTTCCCATATTTTTATTATTTATAATACGATAAGCAGTCATATGACATGAGCAATTAAATTGTGTGAATATACTTAAATTATATTATTTGCAGAAATTCTTTGTTTGGCGAGCTATATATTTTACATATGAATTTACGAATGGTTAGTGTAAATAGTATGTTATTGGTTTACACAGTTGGTGGTTTAGAGGGACGACAGAAGGAAAAGTTTACTATATGTATTATTTAATTGTAGATTGAACTGGAAAGAACTCAAGATGTCCACATTTCGACGTACATTGTTAAAATTCAGTTTGGCTGAGGGCAAGCCTATTATTGTAATATAGATTACATTTACACTCAAACTTTTTCGAGTCTGTCAGATTTGAACTGATGACCTTTGTTGTCTAATATGTAAAAATTCATAATTTTGAATATTTATTCAAATATTAGAATTATTTTTACGTAATCTAAATGTAAAATGTATGTTACACTGACAAGGTACCTGTGAAGAAATTACTATGAAAAAACAAAGCATTAGCCGATAGTTAGCTGACTGTTTTCTGTGACTTTTAAAACTTGACGATCCATTTAAATTCATACTATAATTTAAGTCTCAAACATACTGATATTTATTTGTATCAGATCTACTAAGTCCATAAAAATATAATACTTAAATATGTGAAGTAATAAAACAATGTCATTATCATCATCTTAGTCAATATCCGTCCACTGCTGGACATAAGCCTCCCACATAGACTGCCATAAGGAACGGCCCCAAACTACCCGCATCCACTAACTCCCTGCAATGCATTTGAAGTCGTCAGTCCATTCAGTGGGCGGCGTCTTACACTGCGTTTGCCCGTACGAGTTGCCACGCAAAAACCTTTCTTTCCTATCCGGTTGTCGGTTCTTCGAGCTATGTGACCAGCCCATTTCCACTTCAGCTTGCTTATCCTTCTTACTATGCCGGTTACTTTGGTTCTTTTGCGGACATCATGTTTTCGGATTCTATCACAATACATAATAAAAATAAAACAATATAAGTGAAATTTAATTTTTATTAAAAGAGTGTAGTTTCACACTTGCTTCTCTATAATGCTGAAATACTACTTTTTCTGATCAGAAATCCATGCCGAACTATATGTATATATTATATAAACCAATATAAACCATCCTAATAGAATCTATTAGATCTAGCAGATAGTGACGCTTAAAACTAATAAAGTGTGTCGTGAATCCTTAGATGGGGCTTCTCAATCAAGTGATCGAGAGAAGCCACATTCAACATGTGTGAAACGTATTAGTACAATTATCACGAGATCGGTATGACTTCCATATAATTGTATTATTTGCACTGTCTAGTAATAAATGAAGTTGTTGTGTGACTGATAAGAACTGCGTAGTAAACAAGACCACTAATTAAAGGAATGATATTGGATTGACAATTAACAGTCGTATAGAAAGAGCTTTTGTTTATGGTTTCTCTTAATACATTAATAAAAAAATGTCTGTTTTTTACAAGTAGACCTTTTTAACAATTAGATAGGTACTACTGAAGACATTAACGGTACTCTTGTAATTAACAGAAGTATTTAAACTAAAACTAAAAACTAAGCAGCATGGTCATCGACCTTAGCCTGTTCCTTATGAAACTAACCTTATTAAGAAAAAACAAGTAGATATAATTTCTGTAACTCTGTATTTTGTGATAATAAAAAAAAAAAGATACTTTAGGTCTTATTTTTTTTCAAATTATTAGGAATATGTAATAATATTTATAAAAGAAAAGACTAATCAGTTTCCTAAAATAATACAGCGATTCGAGTTACTAAGAGAAGATGGAAATTTTTTATCGTTTTTCATTTCTTTTTTTGGGAAATATGTTTAATTTAACTAGCAGAACTCTTTTTAAAAGGATGCTAGTATATTTCACTTCATAGATGCTATATAACAGATACAGGGAGCTTTAATTTTGATGGAGCATGGCACGACATGGTACAATTTTAGTCACGCAAATTGCATGTAATTGAAGACGCTTTTCTGCCAACGATGTCGGAAAATTATAATCAACCAAAGGTAAGGTTTTGTTCCATAAAAAAGCTAATTAAATTATAACAAAATTAATACAGGACTATAACCAAAAAATAAGACGAATGATAATAATTCTTACCTGTGACTAAACATTGGAAACTTATTCGAAGGTATGAGTCGAAGAGCAAAATTTTCAGACTCTAGATAATAACTTAGGTTATAGATAACAACATGGAATTGATATGTTACCGCTAACATATAATTTTAATTATAAATTAAAAATATTTATAATTTGTAACTCGGTATTTGGGAATCTTAAATTCTATTATACTGATCTAGTTATTTTACTGAATTGATTTATTGAAGGTATTTTTTCAGTCTAGTTATAATTTCGTTATATCGTTAGATTTAGGTACTACTCGAGTAAAGCAATACGTACTATATTTTTTATTGGGTAATATAAAATAATTTTACTTGGGTATATTGTTAGGGCATATCGCTATGTGTGTCTCGGCATAAATAGGGCCCCTATCTTTCCCGAGGGTGTCGTCAGAGGCGACTAAGTGAGGGTGTGGGATGGGCAGCAGCGTCCCTCTTAAAACATCTATAAAAGCCTAACTGCGGTTGCCAACCCGCCTGCCAAGCGTGGCAACTACTGGCAAAACTCCTGTTGTCCAGCAGTGGACAGTTAACGGCTGAAACAACAACAAATATTGTTATGGTATGTTATATTGACATGTTTATTACAGCCTTAATTACATCTATTTGTCACGTTTACGAATAAAGATAAATAGGTGTTACATATACTACTTTGTAATTAATTAGGTAGGTACCTAGTTGGAATGCTCGTTTATTCGCGCAAATGTTGTTAATGGCTTTGTGACACATTTCCTGAGACCAATACTTTTGTTTTTTATATGTTATGTAAAAGATATTTTATTTAGAATTTTGAAAAAGAAAAACTTCAAAGAGCGCATGCACAGAAATTAAAGACATAAATATTAGGTTGAAAAAGAAATTTCACTGGCTACCTTACTTTTTAGAAAGGGAGGAAAATAAATAAACTTTTTTTTTACTAGAAATTCAGTTTTTTAATTGTATTTGGTCCTTATTCTGATGAAACTGGAAAATGAATCTATGCAACCATCTTAGAAGTAACAACATAATAAAATAAATTAATATTGAAATGTTGTATAATTATTTATAATATCCCTAGTGTAAAATTTTCACATTCAATTACTTGGTTATATAGCATTCATACAAATGTTTTTTTGTTCAAAGTGACTAATGTAAATGTTAAATATCCATAGCTTATTATCGCAGAGAGTAGTTTTTTCATGTTAATTTTGTCAATAACTGTTTATGCTTTTTAAAAAGTTAACAATGTATTTATAATGAATTGTACTATATAGTGTATTTAAATAAATAGATTAAGTACCTATTAATTCATTTTACTTAAATGCTTAAATAATGTCAATTAAATCATGTATCTAACAACTGCATTAACTAATCTATCATCTTTAATTATTTTTGCATGTAAATTAATAACTCATTATATGTATAACACCAGGTCGAGCTTGATTCCCCAGCCTTCTACTTCATATCAACAGATTTATTCATATGGCGCCACATCGTAAGTTATTTATTGTTTTATTATGAATATTATTATATTTTACTTTTTGTTTTTGATAGTCTTTAATTTTTTATTTTTATTTTAAGGGCTCTTACTTTCTGACTTATTTAACTTATTTGACTTAACTGACTTATCATATAAAGTTTTATTTCCCTTACTCATGGAAAGAGAGGAATTAATGGGTATCAATAATTTAAGGAGATGTTAAAAAATTTCTGATTTAAGTTCAACTAATATAGATTGAATAAGATCAAAATTTAATTTATTTAGGTTAAAGTGATGCATGAATTCTTCTCTTTTCATCGAATTTATACGACATTCTAAGTGTATGTTGCACATCATTGATGGTATCACAAATTTGACAATAGGATGACCAGAACTTTTACATTATATGTATAAATTTTTTTGACGTACAATGATCCTGATCGAAGTCGAACAGCTATGTAAATATTATATCTAATAATTTTGGTTCCACAAAACCAAGGAATGTGTGGAGGTTCGGCCTAAATATTTTTATACCAAATACCTTTTTCTTTTGAAATTAATTTTTAAATATAGATGTATATTTAGTAAAATGTGGTAATGACTGGTATTCTCTACCTTCATCTTTGGCTAGTTTAGCTAAATGGTCTGCTTCTTTATTGTCCCTTAAGCCACCGTATGCTGGAATCTATTGCAGTATTAGATCGAATTTACTTTGGTTTAATTTACGAATGAGTTCTAAAATTTTGTAAGCAATAAGAATTCCTCTCATTTCTGACGCACAACGAATTAAATGTTGTAATCAGCTCTTACAGTCTGATAAAATTACACATTTTTTAATATTTATTACAAATGAAATATTATTATTAGTGCTTTTAAAATTGCAATTAATCCCACTGACATATTACAATTAAATTAATAGCAACGGAAATGTTTATTATTTAAATCGCAAAATGCTGCGTCTAACGCACCCGTAGATTTTGCTCCATCAGTGAATATGTTACGCCAATTATTGTATTTCGCATTTATTTGTTTGACATGTTTTAGCAAACTGGTATCATAAGAACTTAGCTTTTGTAAAATATTTAAACTTTGTTCTAATTATATTATTAATCTGAATACCTGTAATCCAAATATCTGGATATCGATATATCCAATTCTTACTTGCAATACTGAAAAAAAAGTAGATTTGTAAAAAAAATTACGTCAGCTAATTTGACGTTTGGCTAATTATAAGTCGACCTATTTTTCAATGCTCTATTTATATAATTTAAGAAAAAAACATATAAGCATTAACGTAACAATTGTTTAAAGATTTCCATTATATGTTATATGCTTGTTTTATGGATAAGGAAAACTTTAATAGCAGTTTAGCATTTAATGAACTATTCTCTATATAGGTAATCAATCAATTATGCCAATTGGGAACAAATGCTTGACCGTATTTTTGGCGCTTCCGTTTCTTTGATGTTTGTTTATGAGTTAGCATTGAGTATTTGTGCGCAAAATGAATTATTATTAATATTTTATAATAGAAGTAAAATTTTGGAATCTTCGTAATCTATATTAGTAGGGGGACAGGAATTATTAGTAATGGAGACTGAGAATCCCATTGCTAGAAATATACCCAACCAGGTCGACCTCCTCGCGGTTCTCCCTGGAAACTGTCATGGTTAATTCCTGATGAATTCATCATGATGGGCTAACTAGCCTATTTTCATTCTCATCTATCACCCTTCACTGGTGCTCCGCCGGCGTATCCCGTTAGCGCAGGCGGGGTTACCATGGAATATAGCAGTGAATTTAAAGGGTATAGAGGAATAACACCTAAATCTTCAATAATGGTAACGCATGGGAGGTATCATGGGCAAAAACAGTATACTCTATTATGTCCATGGTACTGCTTATATCCATAGGTGACGGTTATCACTTTCCATCAGCTGGGCCGGCAGCTTGTTTGTCATTCTGTTTCATAAAAAAAAAGAAAACTTATTTTTACATTTATAACATTAATAAGGATTTTTAATGTAACTTATTTTCTTTTATTTGTCAAAGCTAAATGTCACGCAAGGAATTGAACATGCTTACATATGTATTCTCAATAATTATAACTCTCCTTTTTCCGCAATCGGGTAAAACACATTTAAATTGAGAACATACTGTTTAAGTCTGTAAAAAACAAGATCTTTTGTAGGACATGAATTTTTATTCGAGAATCATAAAGGTAAACAAGTAATGTATATTTGTCTGTATTATTTAATATTATATTGTAGTGACCTTTTTACTATCATAAAATGTTTAATTTACTATTTAATTCCATTTAAGTACATATATGAATAAGTAGTAGGAAAATTACGGTAACTATGGCACTGACATTTTATAGAACAATTTCAGTGTCATCTCGACTTGTCCTTACTAATCATGTGAAGAGAATACTAGATATAGATATTAGAATAATAGATAGATAGATACTCTTTATTATTTCCTCCAAAAGATTACAATAGTAAACTTATTATAAATATAAATAATTACAAGAAATAATCACAATGAGAAAACAATGGGCGACCTAATCGCTAACAGCGATCTCTTCCAGGCAACCTTTGGATGGAGAGGAGTAATTATAAACAATTTGGTAGGAGGCACGATGAAAAATTGTGTTAGTTCTAGATATGGGAGATGTAATACATATAATAATATAATAGATATGTTATTATAATATGTACAGGGCGAGACAATAATGACCAGAGGGAGACGTTGTACAAAAGTCATCTGCTTGGGTATTTCTATCCCATTTGTGTTTCTGCCGTGAAGCAGTTGTTTGTATAGCTGTGTTTTAGTTTAAAGGGTGGGATATGACGATAAAATTACAGGATACAAAGCCATAAGACCTTAGGTTTTCAGGAATAGCAACATAAGAAGGGTATTATGAGCAACACAGTATATTTTATCATGTCTATAGGCGACAATTATCGCTTCTCATCAGGTGGGCCGTCAGTTTATTTACCATTCTAAGTTGCATATGTACATGTTTGCTATTCATCACATTTTGAAGCGACTTCAGGAAGGAACAGGTCTTCAGTGTGCTCACTATATTTTGTTTTATGTGATATCTTAGCTATTATGAACTGATTTCTATAATTCATTTTACAATCGATTAGATTTACTGGTTCTATAGTAATTTTGTATGTTCTTTGCGGAGCCAAATTTTAAATTACAGACCCCTATTTTATAAAAAAAAAAGTTACAAAATCACTATCTGACCCTCTACGATTATTTATTACAGCTTTTAAATTTGGAGTATTTAAATATTGATTACCCGAGTAGATAAGGTGATAGCGATTGAAAAAATAAAATACAAGAATTATTTTCATGTATAACATAATATTAAAGAACTTAGTAATAAAAAGACTTGATGTACAAAACCTGCCACTTATCACTTTGGTTGCTATTGTAGCCATCGTCATAATACTGTACCGTATCAACTTAGTATGAAAATTAGTAGAAAGGTGAAATTCAAGAGTGAATACGCACATCACCATAAGTTGAAGAATATAGCTGATGAACTTGCTTATAACCACAGACTTAGTGTATATTGTAACTTGTAAGAGACATAAAATTCATCAAAGGATATCCACACTATTACGTAAACGATTAAATAGCTATAAAATAATGTATAAAGTTATATTAAGGTTACGATTTTGTATTTGTGCATGTGAAAGGAAAAACCAGTTGAAAATCTCAGGGTTTTTAGCTATGGAAATATTGGATATAGCTTCGTAAATGTTACTGGACATATTACACAACCTCTAGTCCCGATCTAAGCATATATAAGTTTGTAGTATGAATACTATTAGACAATTTATAGATATATGTATTTAAGTATTTAACCGACTTGATTGTAATATATTATATATTTTTTTAAATCGTCAATTTTCTAAGTATGTTTAATTTTTTGTATCCTGTCGTGACCACGACGTAATGCAATCCACGTCGATAATATCGGCAATAAAGAAGTAGATATATGTAGATACTATTTACTTGTAAATATTTATTATTGTAAATATTGTATTTTGTGTGTTTAAAATATATGTTCAATTTGATAAGTAGGTATTTCCGGTCAACCGTCTTTGTATTATGGTTCACGAGCATGGAAATTTTAAATATAACCATTATAAATGGTTCATAATTGATAAAGAATCGTGTAACAATATTTTTTATAATAAAAATAAAAAATTAAGATCTTGTTCCACAAAAACTTACTTTCAGTCGATATTAAAATAGGTATGGGATTAAAACAGGAGATAACACTTTTGATTAAAAAAAGAACCAAATTTGGTATAGAATTGGTAAAGACAATTTGTGACAACGGAGCCCTTGTTAATTTTAGACAGTAAATTGATCAAACTCTGACGATATTTTGTAAACAAGATAAAGTTATATTTGGGTTTATGGTTTGCCAGTTTTTCTTTAGATAACATATTTTCCACCAACTTCAAAAAGAAGGAGACTCTCAATTCGGTTGTATTTTTTTATGTCTGTCCGTGTTAAGTTGTGTTTGCATGGCTGTGTTTCGGTTTGAAGGGTGGGATATAGCGTGAATTTACAGGGTACAGAGGAATAACACCTGAGTCCTCAGGAATGGCAACGCATGGGGGGTATCATGGGCGAAACAGTGTGTGTGTGTACTGTTATGTCCATGGTACTGCTCATGTCTATAGGCGACGGTTACCACTTTCCATCAGGTGGGCCGTCAGCTTGTTTGCCATTCTAAGTCGTATGAAAAAAAAAATAGGTATCAATATTGTATTGTGATTTTGCGCCCCGCTGAAAATGCTTTTCGGGGCACGTGCCCCGATTTGCCCTTCCCTAGATCCGGGTATGAACATTTGTAATGACAATTAGTTAATTGATGCGACCAAGAATTGGAAAATTTATTGAACTCCCACTGTGACTATATTGAGATAATGTTTTCTTATATTTCCCAATTTTATGACTATTAAATGGTTGTGTCATAAATTGAGTATGTCTATATTATATACATATTCTGTAACAACTATGAATACGTTACACGTATCTATTGAAAGAGTAGTACCTATTATAGTATAAACAATAGTATGTGAATAGTAGTATTGCGTACAGCATGAAATCTCCTTGCTTCTCTCTTAAACTATTTCTCTCTGGCTCAATTGTGATTAATTTAACTATATATACCAGAGGAAGACTTTATACAAAAGTCGCCTGCGTGGGTACCTCTTGTCTCATTCGTGTTACTGCCGTGAAGTAGTTGTATTTGCAAGATTGTTTCGATTTGAAGGGTGGAAGATGGCAATGAAACAACAGGGTACAAAAGCGTAATACCTTAGTCCCCAGGAATGGCAACACAAGAAGGGTATTATGTGTAATATATATATTGCACATAATGGCAACGCATAGGGGGTATCATGGGCGAAACAGTATACTCTGTTATGTCCATGGTACTGCTAATGTCTATAGGCGACGGTTAACACTTTCCATCAGGTGGGCCGTCAGCTTGTTTGCCATTTTAAGTTGTATAAAAAAATATATATGTACTCTTTTATGTCCATGGTATTGTTTAGCTCTATAGGCAATGGTTATTACTTTTCATCAGGTAGATCGTTAGCTTATTTGCCTTTATAAGTTGCAAAAATAAATATATATCATTTCAATATCTCAAATATGACAACTGAAACGTGTCGAGTCCTACACAATGACGTTTTTTTAAAAAATAGGTACCTACTATTATACGCTTAGAAAACAAATGACAGAAATGTAAAATGCTTCGAACAAATATTATATGTTGCCATGGATCACGCTGTTTTTGTATGACACTTCATATAAAAACAGATTTGAGTACAACAGGATGTGACACTGTTCAGCCCAGCAGTGGCCTGTTGGTTTCGCAATAGATATTAGAAACGATTTTATGGTGCCATTTCTCTGAACCCATCTTTTAGCCTTATTTTAATTTATATTATTTATTTCTTATTTTAATTTGTGTGTAAATTCGTGTAATTTCTGTTTTATGTATAATTTGATTGACATGTATTTGGGTACACACTACCGCTCCTATCCAACTTGGTACAATATAGGTAGAATTTTCAAAAATAATACAAACCTTATGTTATTATAATACCTTATACCTATATAGCTTTGAATTTTATTGTGTTGTCATTTTGTGAGAGAAATAAATAAATAATAAAAAAAAATCGCTGTTAATGTAACTCACAAGTAGTTTTTGAATTTATCCGCTCGTTATTATTATGTTATATCAGCTGTTAATTGTCCATTGCTAAACACAGGCCTTCCCAGCGTCCAGCGTTGAAACAGCGTCTCAAAATCGACTCTAATATGTATTGTGAATCCAGCAGTGAAATCATGAAAAGTGACGATATAAAAAGACAAGTTGCTATTTTATAGGTATTTCTGAAAAACAAATATTTCTAGCATTCAGTTCTATCTATCTCAAAGATATTGTTCCAGTTATTAGATAGTTGTTGTAGTGACGTACATGTTCTATAATATCGTTTTGTCTGCAAATAATAAATTATTATTATTATTAGGTTTACTCTGCAGGGATGTGACATTAAGAGATATATACATATAAAATTACGACTAAAAATTATAAAGGGAAAATTTCTAAAAAATACAGCGATTGGTACCTGAAGTATGGTATTTATTCAGAAAAAGAATAATTCTATACATATTCACCTGTTTATTTCGTCACGACTTATTATTATAAATTTATCGTATCTATTGCAGGCATTATGATCAAATTATACATGAAATTTACGTCAATTATAATTACTTCATAATTCACATAATGAATTATATACATTATTAATTAATACTACATTATTTTTCAATAGACACATTTAATTTATTCTACACGTGCGTAATAGGTATGAAATAATAAAAACAAAACGTGTAAAATGAAACATTTCTGTAGATATAAGACTAAACAAAGTCTTCTTTTACGATCTAACATAGAATAATCTTCATTCAAATAGACATGTTTACAATCGCTTATAAGATTATAGAAATAATAAAAGAAATACACATAATGTTAGGTCAATAGTTTAACAACGACAAGCCATACTACATGACTGTGCCTAATTGTCCTTGCACGAAAATAAAGCGTCTCATGTGAGTCGCTCACAAGTTGTTTGTATATATTGATAATAGTAAACAAGTACTTCTACATGTACTATGACGGAGTGATCACTCTTTATCAATCAATCAATTCTATCAATTACTCGTATTTGTGATACATAACAGCACATTAATATTGGTGGTAGTACCATAAAGTAGGTATGATCAAACTTCTCTATATATATGTATAAATGGAATTTTTTGGACTTACTATATTTGTCATTTTTGACAATTATATCGACTTCATCTGGAGCTAGTTCGCAGTCCGACAGACGTAAAGCACCGTACTCTCCCTGCAGAAGACTTCAATATGAAATCGATTAGGGGGAAAGGGATTGTAAGTAATGGAAACCAAAAATCCCATTACTAGCAATATACCTAACCAGGTCGATCTCCACGCGGTTCCCCCTGGAAACTATCATGATTAATTTCTGATGAATTCATCATGATAGGCTAACTGGCCTGTTTTCATTCTCATCGATCACCCTTCACTGGTGCTCCGCCAGCGTATCCTGTTAGCGCGGGCGGGGTTACCAATCCATTTTCATCCAACAAAAAAAAAATGAAATCGATACAATTGTCGGAAATGACAAATATAGTAAGTTCAAAAAATTCCAGTTATACATAGACATTGTTAATAATTAAAGATTGTGTCCCACACTAAAAACCGATTTCAATTGTGACAAAATCAGTTATTTTGGTTAATTAATCTACTGAATCGCTTTTGATAAATTTTGCACAGGACTAATCTTTAAGTATATTCTTTCAGATAAAAAAAGAATTTTCCAAATCGGTTTAGAACTGACGAAGTTAAAAAAAAAAATAAACAACCTAAACGATAATCTCTTTCTTTTTGAAGTTAGTTGTTTCACAAGACGCTTTTTGTTGCCTGATAGTGCAGTGATGTAATTGGAAACAAACTCGCCCGGATACTTGAGGGATGTGGGTGGATGGATCAAATCTTTTTAAATTAAGCTATCAGGAGATTAAGTTTTTCTTTTAAGATTCAGCCGTTTAAGGGATATTTCCAATAAAATAAAATAAAATAAATAATAAAATCCTTTAAAATCCTAGGCCTTTTATAATAAAATCTATCATTTAGCCACCCTACCAAAAGTACTTTTTACTTTTTGAACCGTATAAAGAGTAGCCTATCCTAAACACTTTGAGTGTACAAAATTTAATAACTATTTGTTGAGCTGTAAAGAACTCTTTACAAGTGTAATGTAAGTATGCTTTTGTCTTAAAACTTATTCTCTTTTTTATTTCAGAAAAGAATCAATACCATTCATCAAGAATGGAACATCGGCAATCGTCACCAAATCGCCTTTGCCAGCGGATACCCCGCTATCCAGCAAGGCTGGCAGAGGGAAGGCGTTCCGGCAAGTGATGGCATCATTTATTGCCAATTTGGGCACAATTAACACTGGGATGGCATTTGGTTTCTCTGCAACGTCCCTGCCACAGCTCAAAAGTGCAAATTCCGCAATACCTATAACAGACAATGAAGCCAGTTGGATAGGTATTAATAAGATTTAAATATTTTTTATTTATTTAATTATTTTTTATGCTACTTAGATACCTGATGGAAAGTGCTAACAACGTATAGACAAGATATAGTATAAGTTTTGCTGTTATTTGTCTGTACCCTGTAAATTCACTGTTATATCCCACCCTTCAAACCGAAACACAATTGTTTCACGGTAGAAACACAAATGGGACAAAGGTATTCAAGCAAATGTCTTTTGTGCAATCTCCCTCTGATTTTATATATTCTTACAAAGCTATCAGAAAAATTTTGATTTTGATAGTAAAACAGTATTTAAAAAATTTCGAAGTAAAATATGAAATAGTTGCAGTTTTTAATGGTAGATTTATATGTAAAGTGTTCCATGATGTGTGACGTTTTAGTTCGCTTGGAACTAAAACGTTAATCATAGAATTACTTTTTAAATAATTAATCAGAAACATGAAAATAGGTTCAATTTTTTATTGTGGCCTTAGTATACTTCGTCATGAATGCTCTTAATATTGTTTCAGCAAGTTTGAGCGCGGCTGGCACGCCTGTTGGATGCATCGTCAGTGGCTACCTGATGGACAACATCGGCCGCCGTCTGACGCTGATAGTAACAGAAGTGCCTCTTATTATAGGCTGGCTGCTTGTTGCGTTCGCTCAAAATGTCCCTATGATATATATTGGTAAGATAAATATTGAATATATTGTAATATATCTAATAAGTGTCAAGTAATGCATGCAGACAGATTGAAAATTAAAAAAAGAAATTCTTACTAATTTTAGCTCTTTACATTCTTAGCTCATTAACAGCTTAACCAATCGCTATGAAATTTGGTATACACTTACAGGTATTATAGGAAAAGGACAGGCTACTTTTTAATTCAGGCAATGATCATATCCTAGTCACGTGGACGATGTTGTGGGTAAAAGCTAGTTGCAAATACAACTAATGTGAATTATGTATATACGAATTGGTTAATTTGCTCTTTTTAGGTTTAAAAGGGTATCTACTAATCCGAAACACAGTCATAGTATTTCTGAATAAACCGAATTAAATGTATTAGGCACCTGTGAGGGATGATAGGCGAATGAAAGCATGTCAGCTAGCTCATGATGAATTCCATAAGAATTAATCTTCAAAGTTTTAAGAAGGAACCACGTGGAATTCGACCTGATAAAGTATATAGCTAGTAATGGGGTCGCTAGTCCCCTGTACTAACAATTATGCCATAATTTATGCCCTTTTTTATCCTTATTTACAGGCAGGTTGCTAATAGGATTTGGATCTGGAATGGTTGGTGCTCCAGCCAGAGTGTACACTTGCGAGGTCTCGCAGCCACATTTACGAGGGATGCTGGGTGCGTTAGCTTCAGTTGGGGTCTCCACTGGTGTTCTGATACAAGTAAGCTACATAATGCGATTTATTGTCATGTAATTAGTATTAAAACGAATATGGGTTGGCAACCAAAGGTAGGCTTTGGTGATGTTTTAAGAAGGGCGTTGCTGTCTATCCCTCGATCATTAAGTTCCTCTTACTACACCCACGGAAAAGGAAAGGAAGAGCCATTCTATACTAGAATCACACGGCACTGTCTATATACATACACAACGAAAATTTTGTGAAATTTCGATAATTGTTTCGACTTCATTCAGAGTTTTCTTCAGAGGGTGTATGGCGCTTTGCAACACAGTGTTTCGGCTCGCACTTTATTGTGTCAACGGTATCTATTTGTCTGTTATATTTTTTTTATACCACTGAGGTGGTAAACGAGCAAACGGCCCACATGGTAAGCGGTTGCCGTAGTATATGAACGCCTGCATTGCCGACGCTGAAGGAATCTCTTTATTCCTTTTTTGGAGAATCCCATGCTGTATTCTCTTGCAAAAACCTCGTCAGGGAGCTCATTTCTATTTAGTTTTTTTAGTAATGTAAAACGGGATTGAAATTTACACATAAACCAGAATGTAGGTTATCGCATGCCAATACTAGAGACAATAAAATTATAAAAGATTTATATTATAAAGGGGCGTCAATAGAATGAAAATGGGGCACGATCTGCTTTTATTTTTACAGCTGTTTAAATACATATCACATTATGTACATTACATACATTATTTATCACTACACTAGGTAATATTTGTCTACATTGTAACAAAAGCCGGCACAAGTATTTTGAATTTATAATTTTTTATTTTATTTTCATACACACATTAAAAAAAACTAAGCAACACATTGTATAATTGAAATTTGTATAATTTCAATTTTATCATGCGTTTTCGCATTAAATCCTTCGTATTTTCTTATTTATATTATATTTTAATACTTTTTTGATATTGTTGACAACAAGTTTTTTGATAACAATTGTTGATTAAACAATTTTTTTTAATTTTTTTTAATAATCTTAATTAACAATAATTATGAGTAAGTACTGTATGTACTCGTACGTAGTAGAAAGTAAGGTGCCCAATCAACTAAACTTAAACTAAAATTGTACAAAAATTGCATAAATTAATACAAAGTATGGCCTCCTCTGTTTTATTTTGTATTTTGACACGATACCCAAATCGTTATCGTACGTTATTTATTTGCGATTTACGTACAATTAAGTTGCATTTTTTTATTATTTTATTTACTCGTTAATTGTTCTCTGTTAGACAAAGGCCTCCTCCATATACTGTCATAAGGAATTTCTTATGTTTTATTCTTTTTTACGTTACTTATATTTTTTTTACTGTGTATTATTAAATTTTTCATTTACTGAATTTTTAATTTATTTTTACATTATTGTATTGTTAAGTTTAAAAATTTATTTCTTTACACTTTATTTTTCCTATTAAGTTCATTAAAAAAGGACATATTCTAGTAATAGGTTGGTGAATCCTAAATTAATATCTACGCTTTATAAAACTCTATGCAAGCTATTTTTAATAACGAACGCCTAATGTTCTTAATTGGCACTCTTTTAATATAAAAGTTAAATCCAGGACAAATTAAGCACGCGGCGTGCTGTATTGGTTATCGTGATTGTGATAATAGTAATGGCAACAGAGCTCTTGTTGATTTACGTATAAAATTATATTTGTCACAGTGCACGGAACAGCTTGGGTACACATCACACGCTTATCAGCTATTCTATGCAAACATTGGGTCTGTCTATAGAGCCGTTGATAAATATTAAACGTAACGAATGTTTATTGATATATACTGACGTTGATCTCAATGATTTTTTTTTTATATATGTGATAGTTTGTTCAAATTGTATTATTTTTTATCCACGACTTTGCTTGATCGGGATTTGTTTACTAATCGGAATATAAAGTGGCTTAGATCCTTTTTTATGTCATATAGTACGTGTACGAATATAATATATTTTATAGTAATTATAGTGGTATTGATTGACTGCCATGTGGTCCCGGCATAGAATAAGTTACCCCTTCCTTTCCATGGGTGGTTTAAAAGGAGAATAATGGTTCTCTTAAAACATCACTTAAAGCTTAATTTTGGTTGCCAACCCGTGTGCCAAGCGTGGCAACTACTGACAAAACTCCCCTAATGGTGAAGGCTTATGTTCAGCAGTGGACAGTTAATGGCTGATATGATGATGATGATGATAATGGTATTGATAATCAAATAAACAAAGGCACTTCCACATTTATAATATTAGTATGTTGTATTAATATTATAGTATATAAGATAACTTATCTATGGTCCAAAATAAAGTAAAAAGGATGTCACTTTTGGCCAATGGTTTTGTTGTACTACTTATGTCTGGAATCATTAAGAAATCAATATTGATATTGAATGTCTTCTTTTATAAATTACAAGATCCACAAACATCATAATTAGTAAGGATATAGATCCTACTATCTGATCATCGATCGATCAAGTCTAATACTGTCATCATTCTGTCTAGAAAATATCTGTTTCATTTTTCTTTATAACATTTTAAATATAGCAAACTTTATTTTTTGTTTTATTTATTTTATACAAAAACCCACAGCTCTTAAAATCACAATTTACATACTAAGTCTCTTATGAATACAGCCAATAACAGATTTTATTTATACAAACGAAAATTATAATTCCAAAGTGAGTATAATATAATTGCGAGTATAATATAAGTGAGTATAGTATAATATAAGTGCATGTATGGAAGAAACCATGTATAATAATGAGTGTCCATAAGACTTTATGGACACTCATTATTATGAATATATTAATTAATATATAAAATAATAAAAATCCATGTTGCTACAGTTCAGATACAGTTATGATTATGTAATACAATTTAATTTTAATTTTATGATCCATATTCTCATATAAAAATTAGGTACTGCACGCAAATTACTCCATTGCGTAATTAATTGTGGCTGCTGAAATCATATGTCAATCATCATTTCTGGGATACTTTAGTTAATGCATGCAAATGTGAAAGGCACCTTATACACTCGTAAGTGACAAGTTACAAGACAAGGCCCAAGTCTCAAAGGCGATTCAGTTAACAACAACGATACGTATCATAATGGTCAAATTACAATAATTAATACAAACAGATACAGTCTACCAAACATATCACATGAGAACCAACGTTATTCATAATCTTAATTGACATGTAAAAATGGTATTGTGCCAGTAAGAGAGTAGTACTCGGTGTTGGCTTAGCCCTCTTAGATAAATAGCAAACGAATATGGGGTATGGAGGTAAGGAAAATCTTCTCTGTCTATCAAAAATTGTTCATCCATTAAGTTAGGGTAGCCCCTGTAGGGCTACACTAACTTAATACTTTACAAAAAAAAAACCTAAAATAGAAAAACAATGATGATGATATAACTATAACTAATGTATTGTTAAATATTATTGTTAAACTTTTAATTATGCATTAAATAGTAAATAAAAATGTAAAATTTATCAACGCATCGCACTCCACTCCGTCAAGACTGCTAAATTCATGACATGCTCTCTCGCTATTCTTGTATCGTTCTGGAGGTATTTAGAACTGTTATTTACAGCTTACAGTTGGAAATTTTTGCTACTGTTCCCACATATGTTCTCCTGCCCCTACCCTCCAAGTAATCGTCACAAATAGATAGAAAAGTTGTCCAATTTTTGGCGAAGCATTTTAGATAGATAGATAGATAATTTATTTATATTACTTACAGCACACAAATTACAATAAAAAAAAAACATACACATAATACACAATAAAAGAGATAAAAGAATGAAAATAAAAATACACAAAACAAAAAAAAAAAAACAAAACAAACTAACAATCTCCTTTCTTTCCCTTCCTTCATGCGTGTGCCATAGTAACATAAAATGGAATTTAATGGAAACACCAGAGTGTTTCCATTAAAATTATTTAATAATAATAAATATAGTTAAGTAAAGTTTCTTAATAAGTTATTTACAGATAGCATGCAAACGTATTGGCCGTGTGGTCCCGGCATAGAATAGGCCTTTCCTGTGGGTGTCGTAAGAGGCGACTAAGGTAACTTAATGGTAGATGGATGGGCAGCAGTGTCTCTCTTAAAACATATCTAAAAGCCTAATAGCCAATCATAGCAACTACTGGCAAAACTCCCCTTATGGAAAAGGATTAGTACAGCAGTGGTCAATTAGCAGTTAAAATTATGATGCAGATGTCATGTTTTGGTAGAAATTGATCAATTCATGCATTGATAACACCAACTATACTAGACATTTATCTATTCTTCTTGAAAAATTTGTCTACCGAGTAAAAACTTTTGTTAACTTTTCTTTCTTTGGTTTCCCTACTTTTGAAATCCACACACACGAAGTAGCGCCCAAAGTGCTAGTCAATTATAAAATTATTTTACAAGTAATGTTTCTGATAACGTTGTTATTGTTAAAATCTATTGCTACATAATTGTTAGCACGGGAAGTCGTGAGTAGATAAGTTGTGATTTATGAGTGTACAAAATTAGACCAACTGACGGACAAACAAACATACGGTGTGTTTACATTATTGTAACCGATAGTTTGAACACTTCATTATATTATAACAATGCGTGATATAATAATTAGAGAGCCCCACCCTCCATACGCGGTGACAAACGTTGAATTATTTATGCATGGAAACGTGATGTGGAAATACGTAGTTCTGTTGTTTTAGTAGTTTATTTGTGTTAATTATTGATATTTTTTATTTATTTATTTATTTAGATATTTATTTATTTTCAAGGATGCATTAAGAGTGTAAACATAGACGTTAATACTAATTGATATATAGGGAATGAATGTTACATTTACACGAATTACAGATGCCCACAACATTTTCTTAAGACATGGTTATGTTTATACATAATACTAAATATCATATAAACTATTATTACTAAAACGGATGTATTGACTGGCACAAGTTAAAAATACCTAATGTCCTTCTACTTCGTGTAGGTATGCCATTGTTTCATAGGTGCTAAAAAGTAACAAATAAACGAATATTGGCACTTAGACTAGACGTCCTCGCGACAACGTCCGCATCGCCGGGATACAAAGAAAAAGAATTCATCCATCCCATACCACAGGTGCCAATTAGATGAACCGTTAGATATAATAGATAATTTATTTGAATTACTTACAGCACTCAAATTATAACATAAAAACGAGATAAAATAAATGATAAAAAAAATATATATAAAGCCAAGCACATTTTTTTTGTGTGTGTGCCATAACAATACAAAATGGTCACAACTCAGTTTATTGCTTCGCCCTCAAAAGAGCAAAGCACTGATATTCTGTTGCGGCCAAAGGAAATAGGGTAACAATAAAACAATACTACCAGATTATCTATACAGTAAACGGATAGATATATAGTAAACAGGCTGATATACAGTAAACAAACAGATATGATAGTTCATCTAGCAGACAAATGGAGCATAGATGTGAACTCGATGGAATATCTAAGGAGCCAAAGAACAAACACTTAGATTTATTTTAATTTTTTTATAACATAGGATTTTACAATCTAGATAGATATAAAGTTTCATAATATGTATCCATTTAGGATATAGAGAGATTAGAAAGATTATAATATTAAAAGACAATTCTTTATATAAATTATTAGTTGTTATTTTCTTTACCTATCCTAATAATGAAGTACCGCATTCATGATTCACTTTTCATCCCAAAGGTTGGCTGGTAGAGAATGCTACTAGCATTAAGTCCGCTTTTTGTACCTTATTTATTTTGCTCAATAAAGTTATTTAAATAAATAAATAAAGAGAAATAATAAAAAAAAATAACATTTTAATATTTTTAGTACGTTATTGGGAGTGTAACGTCGTGGAATATATTAGCCGGTATAAGTGCAACCGTTCCAATACTCTCATTGCTGACAATGCTGTTTCTACCGGAGACGCCCAACTATCTTCTCTCGCACGACAAGAGGGAGAAAGCGGAGAGCGCACTCACCAAGTTGAGAGGGTCCACGTGTAATCTTGAAGATGAAATAGAGAAGATGATAGCGTTCAAAGAGAAGAATCATGTGGAACCGTAAGTGTGTTTTAAATTTATAACAGTTATTTACATGGCGCAATATATAGTATAGTAAATATGATTGGTGAGGATAACAGTAGCTCAGTTGACCCATCGTGTCTAATTCATCAGAAGTTAACCATGATATTTGATAATTGGTCGTGTGGTCCCGGCATAGAATAGGCCACTCCTTGCTATCCCGTGGGTCTTGTAAAAGTCAACTAAAGGAGGGCGCTGACTGCGGTTGCCAATCCGCCTGCCAAGCGCGGCAACTACTTGCAAAACCCCCAAGGGGGAAGCTTTTGTTCAGCAGTGGGCAATTAAAGTCTGATATGATGATGATAACATTGATAATTTCTAGGGATTTTGACGTAAAAGTCGACCTAGCCTATATTACGTGGGGGGAAAGGGATTATTAGCAATGGAGTTTGACAGCTCCATTGCTAGCAATATGCCCTATTAGGTCGACCTCCACGTGGAAACAATCGTGAACAATTCTTGTTGAATTTGTCACGATGGGCTAACTGGCCTGCTTCATCCTCACCTATCATCTTTCACTGGTGCCCCGCCGGTGTATACCGATAGCGCGGGTGGGGTTACCATTCCATTATCATCCATAAAAAAAAAACGTATATTACGTATATAGGTTAGGTCAACTCTGTACCTATTCGTATATTTTTAGAAATAGAGTGGAATTATATCGCATAAACTGTTTCATAGTATAAAATAATTTTGTATTACAAAGATTCATTAAATAAAAAAATCTAATTTTTTATAACATTATTAATGCTTTATGTTATTACATTTTTTAGTTAGTGTATAATTATAATATAACGAAGTATAATTACCAATAAACAATTATCGGAAAAAAAATATACAGCTGTTATAATAATTACCATAATTCTATGTTATAGTTTAAAATCACCGCGCGAAATCATCAAAGCGCTGATGTCACCGTCAGCATTGAAGCCATTCACAATACTTGCATTATACTTCTTTATTTACCAATGGTGTGGTGTGAATACCATTACTTTTTATGCTGTTGAGGTTTTTGAGGTAAGACGATTTGTTTATTTTATTGCTTATTTAATTCGTCATATTCAGAGATTTTTTATATTAGTTTGAAAATGGAATGCTAGCCCCGCTTGCGCTATCGGTATTCGCTGGCCGGGTATCAGTGAGTGATGATAGGTGAAGAAGACAAATTTTGCCCGTGGTTTTGCCCACGTGAAATATTAGATAAAGTATCTTATATGGTAAGTGGGAATATAACCTGCCCGTGTACCAAATTTCATTAAAATCCATTCATTATATTTTGCACAAAAGAGTAACAAAAAATATCGCTCCATTCCATTCTTACACATTTTTGCATTTGTAATATTAAAAAGATTGAAGTAGCTTCTTTTTGGGACAAAATGTAGCTGTTCTGATAATAATTTGTAAATTGTTTTTTCAGGCATCAGGAGCTCAGTTTGACAAACGGTATCTGACGATATCTCTCGGTATCATTCGTGTGATATTTACCGTTGTGGGGTGCGTGCTTTGCAGGCGTTGCGGGCGACGGCCACTGACATTCGTTTCTGGTAAGTTAGATAATATGCTATAATAACCTATATAGTTTTATTATTGTATACGGTGGATTATATCATAAAATGTAATTCTGAAGTATATGAGAAGAGAATTATTAGTAATAGGAATCTTTCAACAACTATAGGAACAGGTCGACCTCCACGTGCTTGCTTCTACAAATCATCGTGATTAATTCTTGTTGAATCCGTTACAATGAGCTAACTGACCTGGTTTTAATCCTTACCTATCTCCACTCACTATTGCCCTGCCAGCATATACCGTTAGCGCAGACGGGGTTACCATTATATTATCATCTACTAAGAACTCTGAAGTTTCTCAACTGAATTTCCTGGATACGATGAAATACGTTCATATTTAAATTGGATCCATAGCATTGGCGGAAAGTGATGCTTTACGAAGCACCACTCTCAGTATGACGTCACACGTATACGTCGTACGGATACGTATTACAAAGCCCACATTTAAATCTTTGAACAATCGAATGTTTTTGTTAAACGTGGTATTCTTCGGTTTCGGAATTTCGAAAATTGATTAGAGTAAGTCCACAAGAAGAGCTTACTGGCTAGCCAGTGAATTTGATATATAGTTATTTTTTTAAGTTTTTCTTAAGTTTTCTCCCTCACTGCTATGTTGAGTTTTGTACCTTTTATTACTTCTTACAACATCCAATGGATGCTTTTTATCCATAGGATGGCCTGTTATATTATTATCGTCACCTTTTTTCATAAAACTTTGAATAACTACCAATTTTTTTTTACCCTTCCTACGCTATCTGTATACGTTGGCAGGGAGAGATAATTTGGGTGAAGATGAAATTAGTTCAGTTGACCGATCATGACGAATTCAATAAAATTAATCACGACGGTTAACCTCTGCGCAGTTCTTCCTGGAGACCTCCAGGGAGAACTGTGCACAGGTTAACCTGATCAGTTGTATTGCTAGTACTAGGGATTTAAACCCAATCACTAACAAACACTTCCCCCCATGGCAATCAAGTAGATCGTCCGCTTGATAGAAAATGGTAACTATCGTCTATAGTCAGGAACAGCACCATCATAACACGCGCATGGTCATGTGTTGCCATTCCTAAGGCTTACAGTGTTATGCTGCCGCACCATTTATACTGCAATATTATATTACAAGGACGTATGTCGACCAAATAGTCGACATGCTTAAAAAAGACCAAATTAAAAGTACCCGTAACCGGCAAGCATGTATGAAAAGGTTGATGTATATGGAAGTTGCGAAAGAGGTTTGTTTGAATCGAAGCATTTGGTGTTCCATTGTTTCTGCCTGCCCTAATGGGAGACAGGCGTGACAGATATGTATGTATATATATAAATTAATAGGGTTAATTATAATTATTTATTTGCAGCTCTAGGATGCGGTAGTACAATGATCATTCTAGCAGTGTACATGTACTTTGTGCATTACTGGAAACAGAATGGTATAACGCCGATGCACTCCTGGATCCCCGTCGCTAGTATCTTCATATTCATCATATGCTGTACTATGGGCTACCTGATTATACCGTGGGTTATGATCGGAGAAGTTTATCCTACGCAGGTAAGATGTTCATTGTTCATGTTCATCATCATCATCATATCAGCCGTAAACTGTTCACTGCTGATTATAGGCCTCCCCTTTAACGGTTTGGCCAGTAGTTGCCATGCTTGAGGTGAGTTGGCTAGGTTGCCAACTCGCTTAGGCTTTAGTGATGTTTTAAGAGGGATAATGCTGATGTCACTCACAGTAAAGGAAGGGAGCCTATTTTATCTTGAGACTACATGGCCAATACGTTTGCATGATCACAATCTCTTCTCCTGCCATAGTCTAGTTATAATTTTATTTAATTAGTAAGATTTGATATATGCATATCTCTATATGTATTTGAAAAAAAAAACGAACTAAGTTTCGTGCTTTCAGTCAAACTGTTTATAAATACTCTTCTCCATCCAAAGATTGCCTGAAAGAGATCAAGAGATCGCTCTTAGCAATAAGGCCGCCCATTGTTCTCTCAGTGTAATATTTTTCTTGCAATTGTTTGTATTTATAATAAGTTTACTATTGTAATCTTATGGAGGAAACATTAAAGAGTATCTCTCTATCTATCTAATATCAAAAGTGTATGTTAAATAATATTAAAATCTACAGGTGCGCGGTATTGTTGGCGGTATGACGACGTGTGCGGCCCATTTATCCGTGTTCTCGGTTGTGAAGACTTTCCCTTACCTCAAACATGCCCTCTACGATTACGGGACATTCGCTTTGTACGGATCTATGTCTATTGCTGGTGAGTTCACTTACTTCTTAGTTGTTTTATTTATTTTTCCTTATCCGTACTGTTGGTTCTTTTTTACCCCTGATCTGAATCTAAGAACAAGGAATTAGATAAAAGGAATGACAAAAACTGTAAATCATATGGTTGCCTCCTTTCTTCTTATGCAAATATAATTATATATAAATATAAAGATACACCATCAGTTGCTATTTTTCTCAAATCATAGCAAATATGTAATTCTATGCAATTCCTTGTTCTTAGATTTAAATGTACTATTGCAATTATAATACAGCAGATTCGTTGCATCAGTAAATACGCTGTGTAAGTTATGTAATTAGTAACTTACATACTCCATTCTTTATTTTATAGTCATAATCCATTCTTTATTCAGTATGGACCGAATCCAAATTTATTGCCCAATATATTACTTAGTAAAGCAATAAATATTTCATTTTAAACTCAAATCGGATATTCTGTGTAACAGTTCGAAAAAACTTCCTTAATTGTACAATATTATTGTACCTATTTTGTACAACAATTAGTCTGTCATCCACAAACTTTTATACCAACCTGATTAAAATTTTTTTATACTTTTCGTTATTATACTAAATTTGATCTTTCATTCCCAGGAACCGTCTTCTTCTACATGTTCTTGCCAGAGACAAAAGGAAGGACGCTACAAGAGATAGAAGATTACTTCTGCGGCAGAACGAAAAGCTTAAAAAAGAACAGTACACCGGAGAGGGCTTGAACGAGAAGCATTAGCCAGCAACGGCAGCAACTGCATAGGTTTTTTTTAAATTATTTCCTGACGGTATCGTTTTGGATCTCAATATTTGCATTGCCATGTTTTTAATTGATTTATTGCAAAAAATTCTCAATGGAAATTGCAATTTTTTATTATTTAAAAAGAGAATTAAATAGCATTATAAAAATATTGTACGCCTGCAATGCCAGGGGTGTCACATACGCGTTATCAACATTATTTAGAAAATAAAAATAAATTATTATAAAAAATCTAGGGTAATACATTAAACTAAGCATTTTGATTTAAATTTTAATTACTGTATCTACTGTTTACATAGTTGAGTGTATTTCTTAATTGAAGTATTTTTATTTCTACAGAGTAATTTTTAAAACTTTTTCGTCATCTTATTTTGACGTGATTTTATTATATTTTTTAATATATACGACAAATATTTGCGTCATTGCATACTCTCCAAATTTGACATTCAACCAAAAATAGTTTTGTGTGCTCATTTGGACCGAGAATGGGAGTAGTCATGTGATAATTATTGTTTTCTTTTTAACCACTCACTATGGGCCAAATTAGGTTTACATTGTACTAGTAAATGCATGTATGGATACAATAAAAACCTAATCGATTATCGATAAATATTGTTTTGTTATTATCAAATATTATTATTGATAATATAAATATATTAGTGATAATTTTATACGAACTGCCGTACAGAGCATAACAATTACAACACAGTTTGACTGTAACTGGTTATATCCGGTTATATTAACAAAGGAAAACATTAATTAAACCAAATTAGCTTTATTAATTTCTTTCTGCTGTTCAATTACAATAAAATGCAATTTGTTTATAAAATTTTAAACTAAAAATACAGCCATCTCGCCGTCAAACACATTCACAGTCGTGAGCATATTTTTTTTAATTATTATAAATTATAATATAGGTATTTTTATATAGGTTGTAAAATTTAACCTCAAAATAATTTAATACATTTATGAATCCCGAATGCAGGGTTATATTTAAAAAAACTTGAACTAATTTATTTGAAATGTTAGTTAAGAGTACATAAATACAAATTATTAATTACAGTTGCAATGAGGCAACCCTATTTCTGAATTGTTAGGGCTGTGTTTAGATAGTGTTAATGCTTTTAAAGCATCAAGTTAGCATATTTTTGCGTTAATAAGTTCACAACATTTAAGAAACGATATAAATTGTTTTTGATGAGTTATTGTTGTAATTATATTTATACTTTAAATATTATTATTTAGGTGTTACAAACATTGTTAATATTTTACATTATAGGTATACTGTACTTTTAGTTTCTCTTTTAGATAAACCTAAGAGTATAATTTTAATGTATAAATTAAATTATGAATGAAAATTGAATTGTGCCTTACTATGTACTTTCAAATATATATACAAAAATATATACTTAATTAAGAAAATGCTATTTGTTCTGTTGTTGATTGATTACAGTTTTAAATGTATTGATGTAAATAATTTTATATACAACTTATTCATAAAAGTATGTAAAATAATTATTTTTATATATTACATTCATTATTATAAAATAAATAGATTTTATAATACATTTACATTATTGTACAAATATTTTAATCTAGAATAAAAAACATTTATATACAATTCGTATTTATGTATTTTTTAAAAATATACATATTTGTTAAATGTTTTATACATATAAGATAAAAAAAAATTGCATAAAAAATTATGTGAATTAATCGAAAATCTAATGGTATAATGTTGCTATTTATTTTTAATTGAAATTTAGTATAAATAAATGAATTTGAGTAAATTTATCGTTCAAGTATTACTAAATTAAACAAACATGTATTTTATGTTGCGAATAGTTTTTATTCTTAGTTTAGTATTTTAGTAATTGTGCAATGTGCCATTGTTTATATTATTATATCAATTATAGGTAAATGATTGCTTCTAGCACTTGCATAGGTCTTGTTTATGGTAAATATATCGGCGTATATAGCAAAGTTTGTGTGGTTATATCTACTTTCATAGAAAAGTAGTAAACAAATGTATCGATCGCTATTCACGTTATCGCTACAACATGAAATAGAGAAAGAAACGTCTGATGTCTTCTTCTTTTTCATGATTTCACTAAAAACTAATTTACTGATAGATTTATTTGCCATTTTTTTATGCACCTTAGAATGGCAAACAAGCTGACGACCCACTTGATGGAAAGTGGTAACCGTCACCTATAGAATTTGTATACACGTACATGGCAGCTTACTTACAATCGTACCCTGCATTATTTGATGTTTTATCCCATTCATCCATTAATCCCATTAATATTATTGCGAAATTTTGTAGCGATGGATGGATGGATGTTTATTTGCTACTCTTTCATGTACAAATTTTGAATGGCTTTGAATGATAGTACATGGGTAAGGTATTTCCTAACTTAGTACATAGGACACTTTATGTATTAATTCACGGAGGTAAAACCGCGAGATATGACTATTAAATTAATAATAATAAATTATCTTATTCCTTGTAATAAATCGTATACCCACAAAATACCTAAGAGTATTAAATACATAGGATTCTCTCCACAGAGAATTTTAAATGAAGAGCAGCACTTGCACAAATGTATAAATTATAATTTAGTTTGCGCATTAAATAAACACACGTAAGTACATATTCAGCTCAAGGTTAAATTTTAACCTCAATTTTAGTTGCCTGCATCTAAAAAAATATAATTTCGTTGTTTTGTTTTATTTGTAATTGTAAGTTATTTAAAGAGTTGAAACAAATTAAATAGGTACTCGCTTATATAAGAAAAATGCATTTACGGGTAGAATTTTAAATAAAGAGCAGCACTTGGCCAAATGAATAAAGTATAATTAATTTGAGCATAATACATGTGATATAAATATATATAAATATACGTAAGTACATGTTCAACTCAAGGTAATAAATTTTGAGTCGCCTGTAATACGAAACAAAAAAATATATAATAATATGTTAGCAATATCCAATATGGAAATGTATATCACCGTAAACAAGGCCTTGGCTATGCTTATCAATAATTTTTAGAATTAAATTTTGTAAAATGTTAGGTAGTTTAAAATTATGATCAAATATAAATATGACTATTTTTTTGTAGTTTTCTGTTCATTTTTTTTTAATATTACACTGAATGCTAACGAATTCGAATACGAAATAATTTTGAAATTACACCGGTATTTTTTACCAGATTTTTTTATCTCCTTTGCATGTTTGTACTATTTGAATTTGTACTGTTTTACCTAGATACTTATATTAAACAATTATTTATTTTTCTAGTAACATTTTTTTACAAAAACCTTTCAATACAAATTGTCATCGATCGTTATGCCAATATGAACTTTAAACCTTACTATATAAGTGTATTATCCAAATTTGGTGAAACCAAGATTACGATGGATTGTTTATTGATATTGTTGAATATAGTTACCAGTATAACTGAGTATATTTAAGATGCTTGTATTTTATAAAGAAGCATTTTTGTGATAGTGTTCTAGGTACAACCAAGTTGATGAACATATCGGAACAATAAAGTAAAATATGAGAAATTTTAAATGTCGTATTATTAACCTCGATTTTATATATATAAAGAATAATTTAACAAGTAAAAAAGATAAATAAACTAAAATAACTATCACTAACTTAAAAACTTTAAACTTAAAACTTCTGTTAAATCCTATTATCTCTACCTTTAGTACTATTTTCCTGTGTTCTTCATTGTCTCCTTCATCTATATTAAAAATCTTTTTTATTTTATTTTATTATTTTACACATTATTGCATCAAGTAAAAAAAATACAATAAATTCAGTAAATATTAATGAGAAGTGATACAATATTATATATATACATATTTACATATATATATATATATATATATATATATATATATATATATATATATATATATATATATATATATATATATATATATAAATATATATATAGGTTGGTTGATTTTTTTATACGCTTTATTTTGTACTAACCTAAAATTTTTTTGTCCGTTTTGGTTACTTATTGTTACTACTTCACAAATGCTTTAAACAATTGAATTTTATCGATGTTCGCAAAAGTCATTCATGGAAGCAAGTCGATTGCATTGAACATGCAATTAGCAATCTACGTTCATTGTTTCCTTCTATTAATTTGGAATTGTCAAGCTAGCAACAACAATAAAGGAAGTAAAGGTGAGCATTTAGCATTTTGTATACACATATTTTGTATATTATAAGAGATAAATAAGAAAATAAAAGACAGTACTCCTGAATTACGTATTCGTCATCGGTAAAATAATTATTTTTAGACTGCAGCATGGCACTTATTTAAATAAACAAAACTGCTTAGTGATGGATTTGGACAATTCATTTTCATTATCATCAATCAAAACAATCCGCTCTTTTGAAAATTGTGTATCCTTTTTTTTATTAAATGTTATTGCGCTAATAGGTCCCATGAAGTTGGCAAACGGCATAGAATTCAATGGCATATCACGAGGAACTTTGCTCAAGATACTCTCAAATTTGGAAGAAAATATCAACAGTAGACTGACTGGCAAGAAGATGAAGCCCATATTTGTAGCCCAGTTTGCTAACAATAAATATACTAGACCACACGTGTATCCGGAAGCGTATAATAGGAAAATTTTGTGATTACTAAGAACATACGCTCCCTATAAACAAATTTATATATAAATTGTAGAAAAAAAATTAGAAAATTACTTTTGTTTTAATTTGCGTAATATCTTCTTAATCTTGTTATTTTCAAATTTTATATGAAATTAAATAAAAAAAAATATTAAATAGAAAAAGAGAATGAAATAAAATTTTTCCTATAGAATATTAAATACAATAAAGGATAGAACTAAAATAGTAATTAATAAAATAATAGTAGAAATATTTTTAATTTCAGATATAGATTAAGTTTAGTACCTCTTAGATTTCAGATAATGTATTACCCGATATTGCTATTTTTAATATCACAGCTTCGTAACAGATAAACAATTAACAACAGCAACCTAAATAAAAAACATGCTTTACGGACGTAAAACATGTACTTTATTTAGGCATGTATTTTATTTACATCCTCTTCAATTGAAATATCCTAACTCTAAAATTGTTAAGTTTGCAAAGAATTATTTTAAAAATTCATTTTTGTCGTGTAACATTATTTTATATCTATTTGCTGTCAACATGTGTTTAGTTTGTAAAAACTCTAAAATATTTTAGTACCTTTTTTACGTTTCAGGATTTGATGTGACTGCTATGTGCATAGTTGTAGGTTCTCTTCTGTATTTCCAGCTCACACCAAGTATGTAGCCACTCATTTTGTTTGCAGTATATGTTGGACTTGCTATGATAGGCCCTTAGATTATATAGAGAGAGTATCTCCATACAAATGCTTTGAGAAAAACAGATCAACTTTTTCATACAATTTTGCGCGATAAATAGTTATGGGTGATTCCTTTATAACTTTTATATTTATATTGTCTTATAAATTCTGGGCCCTTTTAGTGCGAGAAAAAAAATCTCATTTATTTATTAAATAATTAAATATGGATACATCAAGATACATTGTGCTCGTAAGTATATAGAATATTAATAAAAAAAAACAAGTCAGCTAATTATATCCTTTACAAGTAAGCTATGCAAATTTATTTCTTGTACAAATTGCTACTTCTGTCTTCAAAGGTGTTTTAGTTAAAAACTCAGAAAAATAAATTTGCTAATTTAATAACTTCTATAGCGTAAAGGAAGGTGTGTAAAAAAATGTATTAAATAATTATAAAGATGATGGAAATGCACGTGGCAAAACGAAAGACGATAAAAGTCGAACTTCAACGTCGAACAAAGAACATAAATTTGAAAATGAAAAAAACGGTAAAAATGCAAATCATAACATAAGACGAAGGAACGACTTCGACGAATAAAACTCGCAAACTGGAGTTATGATTATAAATGAAACAAAGTTCATTACAATATTACAATATCAATTTATTTGCAGTAATATATATATAATAAATATGTATTGTTTATAATAGTAACAGTTGTTATCACTTAAACGTTAGCTACGGCTAACACTATTTTCTCCATAATATCAATGCCTCGTTTGTAGACTTGCACGTGAATTCGTTCGTCATGTGCATGGAGTAATGGAAGAGTATTAGTCATGAGACTTAGTCCTATTGCTGGTACACCTTGTCTTCTAACATAACGGGCATCGGTTGCTCCTGGACATGTCGCGCAGTTGATAACAATGCCCCTGTAAAATATAATTTTATACTAATTTATGTAGTAACAACAAATAAAAAAAAAGGTAAAAATTTTATCAAGCGCCAATAATGAATCCCAGTAAATGATATATATATATATATATATATATATATATATATATATATATATATATATATATATATATATATATATATATATATATATATATATATATATATATATATATATATATATAAAAAAAAATATTTCAGTTTGGTATAATTTGTATTGGACCAACATCAAACCTCTCAATACGAAAGTGTCGGCGTCGTTTAAGCTTGATAAAGGTAAAAATAGTAAATAGTTTTGTGTATATCATTCTGACATACACATAATGCAGACTATCCCCATTTTAAAATCATTCAAATAACCTTTCTAGTTTTTTGTAGATATAAATAATAATTTTAACACTGTTAGTTACATTTTCTCAACTGTTGTTTTAATAACATTCCAGAATGGAACAGTACCATCAATTTTAGTGTTTTTTACTTCCGGATTTTTAACGATATATTCAAAAATAACGTCATCACCTGCTTCTTTGCACCATCTCGTTATCTGAAAAGTTTTCCAATAAATTTTATAGTATAAAAGGTATTGTGGTAAATTAATTAGATTTAAAACTATTTTTAATTATCTTAAAAATAGTACAACAAAATATAAATAAGCCTAATGGAATCGTGTTATGGAATATTTCCAATTATCTTATATTAAATTTGTTTTGATATTATTCTATTCTTATAAAAATTTGGAACGTGTTAACTGATTTACCAGAATTTGCTTGTTGAAAAATATTTGCAGTGTTATTAACCAAAACAATTATATCTTGCGTTAGAAGCTTATTTGGATACTAAAATTTTTAACATCCCCATATATATCGAAAAGAATTAGACCAATCATTTATCAAGTTTTATGACGAAGATAGATTATATAAATTAAAAAAAAAATAAAAGAAATAGATTCAAAAACAATATTCAATGAGTAGCCCTAATAATCTGAAATAAAATAAGCGTTGTAGATAAAAAATATTATTAACTCGAATGCCTTTATGCTTATGAATGAGAATAACGTTTATGAGAGGAGCTTGAGATGCTTTTTTGTCTAGGTATTTTTTTATTAAAAAATTATATAAAAAATTAATAATTTAGATTTTGGTACCATTTTTTCAAATGCGTCGTGATCGTACTCAGGAGCGATTCTGATATCGAATGATACGGATAGATTTTCTGGTAGCACGTTTATTTGAACTCCGCCCTGTAACAGTTACAATTTTTATACTTTGTACAAAAGTCGATTGCTTGGGTACCTCTATCCCACTTGTGTTACAACCGTGAAGCAGTTGTGTTTGCATGACTGTGTTTCGGTCTAAAGGGTGGGATATGGCGTGAATTTACTGGGTACAGAGGAATAACACCTGAGTCCTCAGGAATGGCAACGCATAGGGGGTATCATGGGCGAAACAGTATACTCTGTTATGTCCATGGTACTGCTCATGTCTATAGGTGACGGTTACCACTTTCCATCCGGTGGGCCATCAGCTTGTTGGCCATTCTAAGTTGTATAAAAAAAAAGATTATGATATGATATAACGAAGTTCTATCAAGAAGTAACAATACAAACAGTAAATTAATAATTTGCTCTAAAACAGATCACACATACTAGGGCAAATCGATAAAAACAAATTTACAGTACAGTACGAGAAGTAGAAGGAAGTCGCTGTGTGGTCCCGGAACAGAATGGGTCACCTCTTTCTTTCTCGTGAGTGTCATAAGAGGCGATTAAGCGAACTTGATGGTCGAAGGATGGACAGCAATCTCCCTCTTAAAACATCACCAAAGTCTATGGCTGCCAACCTACCCGCCAAGCGTGGCAACTATTGGCAAACCCTCCAGCAGGGGAGGCCTACGTTCAGCAGTGGATGGTTCATGGCGATATTATACATTGACGACTGGAAGAGAATTTATCAGATTTATGATTAGAGTAGCTTTTGTCCGCATCCTCGTCCGCGTAACTGGAGTAAATATTTTCTATCGATAAATAAATACTCTGTTACTAGCTGATCTAACAAACGTCTTCAATAGAAAAATTTATATGGGGGAAAATGGAATCTTTATATAATTCCAAGATTTTTTTCCAATTTTGCTCTAGATAAAAATCTTTTTAAAACTTAAAAGAATATTTAAAAAAAAATGTTATCGGCATTGGTCTAGCTGTACTAGCGACTCATTTTACTAATATAGATACATTATGAACTTTTCGCTTGCCTCAGTTTGTGTTAAGTTTATAGTAGTCACTTCACCAAGAGCCGCTCCATTGTCCAACTTCTTCTTTTCCTCTGCTCTTAGTGTCATAAACTTGTTAACTATATAGTGTAACTGGAAATAGTTTAAAACATATTTAAAACAAGCAACGACAATAATATTCCACAAAAATAGAAGTATTTAATAATGCTCTATTTTAGCTATTGAAATGTTTTTCAGATTTTTTAAGAAGACTAATAATTTTAGTGTTTTTTTTTTTTTGGCAAAACTAAAATAAATTTCTCAGAGCAATCTTAAACACAAGAGATGCGAGAAGAATTCTACACTTCTCATAGTATATCAGGTAGGTGATATCCATGTTTATCGTGTATGCATGGTATACATATCTGTAAGACTCCACTGTTTTGTTGTTTACAAATTTCAATTATCTAGAAAATATTTTTAATTCTTTCAAACATAATCTTTAGATCTTATGCCAACGAAAGTTATAGTTAAAGGTAATTGAAAATTTATACGAGTATTTACTCACTTTTTCGCCAGCAGTGTTAGACTCAAGCAATGAACCGTGCCCAGGTACTCCTTTGCATGTGATCTTGATTTCTATAATGAATTGGAACTTTTGTTTAAGATATTTACAAATTAGAATTTAATAATTCTAAATCCAGAAACAATATTTAAGAAATTAAATAACGTTCCTCATAAATACACAAACTATGTATTAAATGTCGCAGATTCTAAATTCTATTGACAAGTGAGTGAAACTTCGCAAAAAATAATATAACACAATAATGTCGATATCTTGAAAAAAAAACAATTTAAATTCTTTGCCAAAGAGGAATCATTTGCCGGGCTTGTCTCGTTAAAAAAGGGGCATATATGTATTTTTACACATGTCTTTGCTTATAGTTAAAAGCATCGCTCCTGATTCTGAAGATGGCACTATAAGATTCTGGAATTGGCATAGCACACCTGGCCCCCCTTATATGCATATAGATATGACCTATGCCTAATATTGAATCGATTTTATCATCAAAACCTAAAACTGAGAGAGAACGACTCCAAGTTTCTTGTATCGTGATAGCATTAATGAGTAAATATGAGGTGCCTTCTGTACAATTTTATGGTGTAAAACTTAGGATTCTGAAACCTTATCTAACAAAGTTGTTAGCCCCGTTCTGATTCTACTAGAACTGTGTCTACATTCTAAAAACATATTTTTATCGTCTGTAACATTTAAGTACGGTACATGGTTTGTTGGCAAATAACTAACCTAGTATTCAAGTTAGTAAACTTATAATGCAACATCTCGTAGATGCACATCTTAGTTAATTGTTCGTTGTAATAAATTCTAGAGCAGAAGTATTAGGGCTTGTTGTTAAATAACAACAGTTTTACTCTATTGTTATTAAAAATTACATTTTTAGACCATCAAATAAGTAGTTTAGGTCACTACATGCGATAAATATAAATTCTTTCAAATATTTTTCATATGAACACAAATGTACAATAAATGTTTTTTTTTTTCTGGATTATCCTTATTTCAGTTATTTGATGCAACTAAGGGATGACTCTCAGTATCATTGACTAAAGGACGAAGAGATATTTTTTATTTGGACTCTCTCCCTCTTTTTCCATTTAAAAAGACTCGATGTGACCCTCTCGCTCTTTTAACATGCTGATAATGTATTTTGTTTAATTTGTTTTTATCAGTTGAAAAAGGTATCGATAAATTTATTTGTCACTTGTCTATGGGATTGTCTACGGGAAGTCTGGGTTCAGTAGTTCATAGAGGAAGGATGAAATAATGAAGATAATATGCAAGAAACAACTTTAATAGTCGTAGCATATCACTTGTGTAAGAAATGTTTCCAAACGTCAATGGCAAATCATTACGAAGTAGGTTAATTGGTATAACTTAGGCAATGTTGCATACTCCTAGTAGGGATTATGTTTCATTGAAACTAATGCAATACATGTGACATTTCCGTCGTGAGCGTTCATAATATTAGCGTCGCAATTGTCTGTCAATTTACAAAAACGATTGAAAAATTTTCCTATATTTCTGACTCATTCTTCAAAAAGTGCTTTGGCTTTAAACTAAAATGATTTTCGTGCAATAACTGCTGTCGCTGAAAATTTGAATTTTGATGACAAGAAGTATTTTCAAAAATATCAAAGTAAAATATGAAATAAGTTTTTAATTGTAGATTTATACGGAACATACCCATTTTATGAATAATATTATTAATCAGAAACATTGAAAATTCTTTGTTTTTAAAAATTGACATATAATAATTCTTGTCCTTACGTCTGCTAGTTCTTTCACCGTTGAATGCTATCAGCGCATCAGTTGAGCTGGGCATGCTCTCATCCAAACAGAAACCCACGTTAAGTTTCTTGAATACTTCGGACTCGGAGAACTTTCGCATACCGTCTGTACCACCAGTTTCTTCGTCTAAAATGACGTAAATGAAAAAAATATAATAGGGGTCATTAAACATAAAAATGATATTACAGCAGTATTATAATCTATTGCTTCTATTAAGATCTTCACATCAATTTTTCTTCAATATTTTCTAAGTATAGACATTGTCTAGTTACAAATTTATTATATTAGTTAAATAAGATAGGTACTACAATTATTTATATCGGCATTACTGAACTATTAACTTCGTGATTACTCTACTAATTTCGGACTTGATCAAAGTCGTTATCAACCCGAAACTAGTTGGACATTTTCGAAATGTGAATAAAGCGATGTAAATAATTGCAATATACTCGTAACTTTTTTTTATAACATAGAGGGACAGATAAGCATGCGGCTTACCTGATGATTAGTAATTACTGCCAGCCATGAGTATCCGCAAGATCAGAAAAATTGCAGGTGCATTATCGTCCTTTTAGGAAAGAATATAAAGAAATATAGACTTCCCTAATAAGCGGGATTTTGCCAGTATTTTGAGATTTGATTTTGAGAGGTCTGCGTTCAGTAGTGAAAAATTAATGGCTGATATGATGATGACGATGATGAAGGAATATAACTTAAAAAAAAAAAACTATTTGAATAAAAATGTTTTTCGGTGCACATAATTATTTCAATCTTACCAGGCACAAAACACATATGAATGGTTCGTTTCAGCCTCACTCCGGCAGTTTTCAGCCGCCTGATCGTTTCTAGATGCATCATACCCACTCCTTTCATGTCTTGTGTTCCGCGCCCGTACAAAAACCCATCGTCTGTTATAACAGCTTCGAAAGGAGGATGCGACCAATATTCCTGTGAAAGAATATTTACACTGAATAAAATATCTGGAGTTGAAGTTCTATTATACTCCTACAATAAGATAACGGAATAACCAAAGTACTCGACATAGTCCGAAGGAAAATCAAGCTGAAGTGGCAATAGGCTGGTCACATTGCTCGAAAAACAGATAATTAATAAGAAAGAAAGGTTCGTGAGCGACGAATCCATATGGGCGAAAGCAGTGTAAGATGACGCGTCACTAGATGAAGAGACGACCTTAAATACATTGAAGGGAGCCAATGGATGTAGGTGGCTCAGGATTGGCAGGTGGCCGTTCCTTATGGTAGTCTATGGGGGAGGCCTATATTCAGCAATGGACAGACAATGGCTGAGATGATAAGATGATAATTTTTGTGGAAGTCCATAAATTCACAGTACTGTCGCGGAAAATTAAAAGCGTCTCCTTACAATTGCCTTTGGTCTTTCATCAAATTACGTTGTTATGAAATGCCTTCTATAAAGTGAATATCTAAACTTGGTCAATAAATAACTACGTTTAACTACCATTATCAGCTAATATTTATGGAGTCTCGTTATACAAGTATTAAATTAAATAATGATAAATGCAATCTACCTGTATTACAGCTTTACGTCTTGTTTACATATAGATAATATGAAGAAACATCTGTTTTTTTTTTGTTCAAAAACAAACAATAAATTAATGTTTTTAAATATCAAAATAAAATGATGCTACTAATATAATACAGTTCTCGCCGCTTGCTTATCTCTGTATTTTTATGTGTTATTCATGTATACAATAAAACATTAAATAAATAAATAAATAAAGTAGTAAAGATTTCACCTTCAAGATTAAATATAACTTGTATTATGTTATTGAATAAAAACTCATGAAAAAAACAATATCTTTCATAAATTATTACTTAATTTACTTTCATCATTTTCGTCCATATTGTAAAAGAAATTATTAAAGCGATACATTGTATAAAAGTCGTCTGCATCAAGCAGCTGTGCTGTTTGTATGACTGTTGTGTTTGAAGGACGAGATATATGACAATAAAATTACGAGTTTTTTATGGATGATAATGAAATCGTAACCCTGCCTGCACTAACGGTCGACACTGGCGGGGCATCAGTGAGGAATGATAGGTGAGGATGAAGCAGGTCAGTTAGCTCATCATGAGGAATTCAACAATAAATTAATCACGATGGTTACTAGAAGGTACCGCGTGGAGGTCGATCTGATAGGGTATTTTGCTAGAAATGGGGTTGTTAAGCCCAATTTCTGATAAGGAGTTATTAGAAATTGGGCTTAAATCATGTCTTACCTGAAATCATGGATTACCGAGGCATACAGCAACACTAGCTACCAGAAATGAGTTTCAAAGCATTTTTTATTTGTTTTATTGTTGCCATTTTTATCGGGGGGAAAGAATTATTATTAATAGTGTCAAACAACCCCATTACTAACAGTATATCTTATCGACCTCTACGCGATTCCCCTTCGAAACCATAATTGTTAATGAGGTCAGAAAAATAAACTTTTTTAAACAACATAGATTGGCAAAGTTGACGGCCCACGTGATGAAATGTGATGACCGTCCCGTCCTATAAACAGGAACAGTACTATGGATATAACAGAGTACACTATGCCCCCTGTCTGAATCTGTTGATCCTCACTTATCAACTCTCACTGGTGCCCGCCAGCGTTTATCTTCAGTGCAAACGAAGCTATCATTCCATTATCATTATTGTACCAGTCGTTAATTGTCCACTGCTAAACATAGGACTCCCCCATAAGGGAGGTTTTTTCCAATAGTAGCCACGCTTGGCAAGCGAGTTGGCAACTAAGTTAGGCAGTTAAGGGTTTAATGGTGTTTTAAGGGGGGGAAAGGGATTGTTAGTAATAGAGTTTGACAGCCCCATTGCTAGCAATATGCCTTATTAGGTCGACCTCCACGTAGTTCCTCCTGGAAATCATCGTGAACAATTCTTGTTGAATTCGTCACGATGGGCTAACTGACCTACTTCGTCCTCACCTATCATCCTTCACTGGTGCCCTACCAGTATATACCGATAGCGCAGGCGGAGTTCCATTCCATTGTCATCCATTAAAAAAAAATGGTGTTTTAAGAGAGACGCTGATGCCCATTCCTCTATTATTATACATAAAAAGAAACACTATTTATCGGGTAGGTCGTTAGTATGTTTGCCATACGCAGTTGCAAAAAAAACCATATTACAATATAATCATCATCATCATATCAGCTCTTAACTATTCACTACTGAATATAAGCCTCCCCTAGGGGGGTTTTGCCAGTCCCTGGGGGATGTGCTAATATACCGGCGCATCCTCCGAGTGGTAGGGTGAGCACGCCATCCACCATATCTTGAGAGAGGAGACCTGCTCTTACCATCAGGGGGCGGGTCGCTACCGTCGGAGATGTTGTGAGTGCGAAAGCGAACCCACGTCTCCGACATATGGCACCTCGAGGGTATATCGTCTGGTTTTTGGTGGGTACAGCTTACGGGGGGATTCCCACAGTATCCATTCACCTCCCACAAGGTGTATGGGTCTGCATAAAGCATTTTCCAGACGTTAAAAAAAGGGAGGTTTTGCCAGTAATTGCCACGGTTGGCAGGCGGATTAGCAACCGTAGTTTGGCTTTGGAAATGTTTTAAGAAGGACGCTGCTGCTCATGTTTCGCTCTTTATAGTCACCTCTTACGACACCCACAGGAAAGGAAGCGGTGGCCTGGCCTATTCTATGCCGGGACCACACGAGATTATTAATATTACAATATCATCTAATAAATATCTCATGTACACGAATGGTCTTATCAGTAATTATAGATGTGTTCTCTGTCTTTACCTCATAAACTGGGACTACGTCCATATGAGAATTGAGCAATATCGACGAGTCTTTTGGCTGTAGACCAGTCCAAGTTATCACCACGATCGGCTTTCCGGGTACCAGCTCGTAAACAGTCACCGGTAAACCTATCTCGTTGGCTTGTTGCTTGAGAAAAACCACGCAATCTCCTGTATAAACATAATTATACGACATATACTATAATTGTAGCATATATGGTAAAACATATAGGGAAAAGAATCTTTGTTTCAGTAGTAAAATACTTTTAAATCTTTTCAGGGTTCCATACCAAAAAGGTACACAAGGAATCCTTATGGCGTGATTTTGTCTGTCCGTCCGATTTTTATTTATTTTTAGTTATGTTCGAAATTTTTTTTTTTATACGACTTAGAATGGCAAACAAGCTGACGGCCTATCTGATGGAAAGTGGTAACCGTCGCCTATAGACATGAGCAGCACTATGGACACAACAGAGTATACTGTTACGCCCATGATACTCCCCATGCGTTGCCATTCCTGAGGACTCAGGTGTTATTCCTCTGTACCCAGTAAATTCACGCTACATCCCACCCTTCAAACCGAAACACAGCCATGCAAACACAACTGCTTCACGGTAGAAAAATACTATTCCCCTACTCCCTTACGACCGAAATTTCAGAACCGGAAAATCTAAAATAAATACATATTATACAGGCATCATCATCGTCATCATATCAGCCTTTAACTGTCCACTGCTGAACATAAACCTTCTCCTTAGGGGTTTTGCCAGTAGCGACCAGGTTTGGCAGGCGGATTGGCAACCGCAGTTGGGCTTTGGAAATGTTTTAAGAGGGACGTTGTTGTATGGACCTCGCCGTCCCTTAATCGCTTCTTATGACACCCACGGAAAAGGAAGGGGTGGCCTATTCTACGCCGGGACCACACGGCACCTTTGCAACCCACATCATCATATTTATACCCGTATATATTTATGAACGGAACCCTGGATGTGAGTTCAACGCATACCTGACTTTTTTTTTATTATTAGTAATAACAAAGAACCAGTTAGTCATAATTTATTACTGCCGTGTGGTCCCGGCGTAGAACGGACCACTCCTTCCTTTCCTTTGGGTGTCGTAAGAGACAACTAAGGAAACTTAATGGTCGAGAGATTCTGGTGTATGTTTTATCTTGATATGCCATCCTAAAGTAGTCTTCCATTGGTTCCATGAGTTTTCCTGCTTCTAAAATTCACGCGTACAAAGTAATGGACAAAAAGCTAGTAAACAATAAACAAACTCACTTTCACATTTTATGCAGATAGCTTGAAATATTTTTTTTTATTTATTTAAACTTTAATGCACAGTGAAACTATATATATATATATATATATATATATATATATATATATATATATATATATATATATATATATATATATATATATATATATATATATATATATATATATATATGGTGGACTTAACACCGAATGGTGTTCTCTACCAGTCAAGTATAGGGCAAACCGAGAAATAAGTAGGCGGTGCATTATTAAATTGAGGAAATACAAAAAGTAATAATATATTCATATATTATAAAAATAAAATTAGACTAATATAAGTGTATGTTTATATTACATCTAAATGTATATGTAATATATAAAATATATGTATTAAAAATTAATAATTTAAATAAAATTAGACCTCACCATAGTCTATGTCTGGATGAACACTCGGAATTTTTAGATACTCTCTGAACCTTTGAACAACCGGATCGTTTACCCATTCTCCTCTCATATTTAACGATACAATATATCTGAGAAGTAATTTAAAAATAGGTATAATAGGAACTCGAGATGTGTGCACTGTACAAAGACTTGTCACATATTAAATATTATTGGGAGATAGTTGTAATTTATAAGTATTGTGTAATATCTACTCGTATCTTAGAAGTAATAATACTATCTGTGTATGTATATTTGTTTACGTATCTTTTATAACTCGTCATTACAAATAACGTCGACTTGTCTGCATTGTTATATCAATGTTACATTATTTATATGAAAGGAGAGTATTCAAGTACAAAACGATAGTGGGCTTGTTCACACTTAATATATGTATTATACTTTAGTAATTAAGAAGGAATATACACAAAAAGAGTAAACGACATATCTAGTTGTACAGTAGAAATTTAAAAATATATTTTTCGTATAGGAGATTGTGTCCTTTGAAATTATAGCATTAATAATGTTGTAAATAATAAATATTAATAAATAAGTAATTTATTTATTTTTATTTATTTACACTTTATTGCACCAAGTAAAAAGAGAAATAACAAATACAGTAAATATTAATGAGAAGTGATACAAAAGGCGGCCTTATCGCTAAGCAATCTCTTCCAGACAACCTTTGGGTAGAAGACATTGAGAAAAAGACAAAGGGTAGGTGGCGCAATATTATTATATACAAACATACATACATACCTACACACACATATATAATATATACACAATTAAATATATACATAACATACACATACTTAACAGCACACACAACAGAAAAAAAAATTACGAAGGAATACGAAGAGAGAACACAGGAAAATAGTACTAAAGTGAGAGGTAGTAGGATTTAACAGAGGTTTTGAAGCTAGTAAGAGTTTGAGCGCACCGAATAGAGGTAGGTAGTTCCCTAGAGACTACAGCATGGGATTTTTCAGAGAGGGCGTACAAGTATTAAAGTTTTCGTAAGAGTCGACGAAGCGCGCGTGACATCCCTGATGTTGTAGGCGTCCATAGGCTACACTAAAATTGTTTATTATTAGTCGGGTTGTATGCTTGTTTGCCACCACAGTTGTATAAAAAAATAATAGTTTGTTACCAATTATAAGACATGCAATTTTAAAATTGTGCTGTTTTGGATAAATATGCTCTAAAACATTCATCGCCCTATGTAAAGAATATTAAGGCCGATGAAAAATTTAAGCCTCATCGAATTTGTAGAACTGCGGTTAAAAAATATTAACTCTATGTGCGTATTTAATCTATTATTTAGTAACACCATATGCAGTACAATAAATGAGCAATTTTAGGTTATAAGTTACTCAAGTAAAAAGAAAAAAAAACTATCATTTATGTTATTCTAAAACTACTATAGAGGTATACGTAATACGGGAGGGGACTGACTGTCTTAAACTTATCTGGTGCCCGTCCCAAAATTCGAGTCAAGCTTTGCAAAAATATGTCTGAGAGTGTAAAAGGATCGCGCCGCCTTCATAAATATTTTTATTACGTTATACATATAATAATAAAATACTTAAATTATATAATTAATTATATCCTTAGATTATATAAATAGAGCATTAAGTATTAACAATGGGTCAACTTTTTGTCAACTAGTTGTCAAATATGCTGATTATTTTTTGTTAGTGTTCTATAATCTAAGATAATATCGTAGTAATTTATGACGGCTTTGCTTACGTTTAAAATTAAAAGATACCTGACCTGAGTTTTAAACCCAATAAGATAATTATACTGTACGATTCATTATAACTATTATTTAAAAATATAATGTCTTTCCTCATTTAAAACGTTATCTTCTCCGCTACCTATACTAAAACGGATCCCCATTCAATTATAAACAATTTGAATTTCGAATTATCGCGTAACAAATAAGTAAGTATATAAATCTCTTTACCACTGCGCATTGCAGGACCAGTGGTGTCACTGAATTATTTTCCATTTGCTTCAGTGTATGGTTAGAGCCGCAACTAAAAATAACGGAGTAATTATTTTCTCTGTGATGTTTATTTGTGATATTAAATTATCACAGGTACTGTCGTTAATTTATAATTTTAGTTAATATAAAAATATCTGGGTATCATTAATCTATGGATAATTCAACAAAATATGATATATGTCGAATATTTCTTATTTTAAATCAAACAGAATTATTACAAAGCACATTACTTTAAAAGATGAAAATGATTCGAATTAATAATGTGCGTTGATTTCTTCAAAACATTCTTTTAAATTAAGTTTGTTATTATGATATTAATAAATAAAAACTTGAATTAATAATAAGACATAATCTATTACTACATATTTTATTTAGATAAATGCAAAAATGTACCATACTTTGTGTACCAATTTTTTTTTTGTAATGTGATAGATAAAGTAAATATAAATAAATGCGTGAAACGGAACGCGGTCGAATGAAATCGGCGGGAAACCCTCCTACGCGGGCCTTTCAAAAATCGACACATTCACGTCTCACCTTCCATACCGTGTTCGACCGCGCAGCTTTCGCCGCACGCTCATTTACGATTTAAATTATAAAAGTATAAACAATATTCTAAATTTAAATTAAAGTGACACGTTCTGAAATATATCTTGTATAATTGTTCTTTTTTTTGTGTATATCTGTGCAAAATGGTTCGCAAAATCAGTGCGCTTTTATGTTGCCTGTGCGTTTTTGGTATTTCGTTGAGTGATAGCGCGATATCTTCCGATAATGTGAGTATCTATTAAGCATATGTATTAATATTTAAAAATACATTTGAATAAATTGATAATAAATATTTATCATTGATGTTTTAATTTTTGTAAAAATTAAAGTTATTAAAATAAGGGGTACGTCTCATATTAACTTAGACCCCATTGGTCATTAATAAAGTAATAAGGGTATTAAGTTTCATAAACAAAAACTAGAATATGAATTTTTAAATTCACTCCTGTATTACAACTGCAATCTTCTTTTTACCTTCTTAAAAAAAATTCAAACAAATACTTTTATATTCCTCATTTGCTGTAAACAAAGAATCTAATATGCATTATTCGTTTTTATACCTTTAGTAGTTTTGTTCAGCGATGATGAACCAGTCAATCAGTATGCAAGCATAATCTTTTTATCGTATAGATAAACAAATATAATAAATATAATACTTGCGGCATGAATATTTACTATATTTTGTACTTTGTCTCGACTAAGTATAAAATATAGTGAATATTCAATACCAAGAATGACATACCGCTCTACTTCTATACCGACCTTGGATGCAAGTGACTCGTTCTTGTTAAACTTGAACAATTGGCACGTGTTCGTATTACATAGTGGCATATTATATTATTGATAACATTATTTATAATTTTTTTGTTTCAAAATAAATTAGCAATATAGTTTTCAAAATTAGCTGCACTAAAGTTATCACCATGGCTATTTTTGTTCTATTCGTATTTCTACTATATGTCGCATCGATGAACCATAGATTTACATACATAGACATGAACAGCATCCTTTTACTATATACCACTCCAATGTCGCAGCTCAGAAATACCACAATAGAATATACCACAGAATGCTCTGGGATTCCATATACCACATGTAGATACCACAGTACATTCAGTTCATAATTACATAATACAGCGATATAACACCATTCTATAGAGGAGAGAGATTGTTAGTAATGCGGACTCATTGCTAGTAATATATCCTGTCAGATCGACCTCCACGTGGTCCTCCCTGGAAATCATCGTTCTGAATCCCAGGTGTCATTCTCACCTGTCATCCCTCACTGGTGCCCCGCCAGCGTATGCTGTTAGTGCGGGCGGAGTTGCCATTCCATTATCATTCAATAAAAAAAGAACACCATTGTATAGACGCTGGTTACCACTATCCATCAACTGGGTCTTAAGCTGATGCTATATAAAATTCATACTTAAAAGTAATGCGAATTGAAATAAATAATCGATAAACTATTGCAAAAAGTATCATCAAAATCGATTGCAGAATTTTCACGTAAGATGCAAACAAATCCTGTTAATTGTAATAACAAATAGTATAGTAAGAAATATAGCACAATAAAACATGCTGCCATAAACATACCACAGTGCGAATATTCGGCGTGAGTGTTCAAATTTTTAGTTATTAAAAACGCTACGTATGATATGACAGTCTAAAGGACTACTTAATATTAGAAATAATTTTTGAATAAACATAAACATAATATTGCAATATCATACAGAATATCATTTAAAAAAAAGGGTTCAAACGTACTGTCAAGGACCACTAATTAATTTTTTTTTCCAAATATAAAAAAAAAAATAGATATAAACAATCTCCATTAAGTCAGGTCAGGTGTTGCCAACAATTGGTGCGTGGAAATGCAATAGGTGAAAGTAAACGCAGCGGAGTGTTTACGTGAAGCTCGGTTTGTAATGGTGTATGCTAATTACAGTTCATGTCGACTCCTCGTTTTACTTACTAAACAAAATAATAACAGGAGTCACTTTGATAGAAATACTAGTAATTTAACGTTTCGCTGCATAAAAATTAGGAAAAAAAAACAGCAACACAGCAATTATATAAATAATTATTAGGATGTAAATCCTAACGATTATTTGTGGTAATTTGTGTAATCCTAACGATAAATGTGAAAATTTGTAAAGATATTTTGGACGTTTAGATGTTAATTTGAATGAAATTTGAAATACAGATAAGTTATACCCTAATGTAACACATGATAATTATAATAAACGCGAGCAAATCCGCGGAAAGCAAATAGCAGTAATTAAATTATAAACATCTGTCTTTTAACACAGCAGAGATATATTTCTCCCTATAATATCATATAATATACTAAAAACGTAACATTTAAGTTGCTTAAAAACATAAATTATCTATTCATTTTAATCAATCTTTTATTATATATTAATTAACTATTTGGAAGTTCACTTGTGTCACAAAGGATATATTGACGTAAAATAATTTTCTTTAATCTTATCTATTAAATATTCAAACTATTCAGTTTTAATTTTAGTTATCATCGTATTAGTCTTTAACTATCCACTGCTGAACATAACCCTCTACCTAAAAGGAGGTTTCACCAGCAGTTGCCACGCTTGACAGACGGATTGGCAATCACAGTTAAGCTTGGGTGATGTTTTAAAAGGGACGCTGCTGCTCATCCCTCGACCACTAAGTTCCCTTAGTCGCCTATTACGATATCCACGGGAAAGGAAGGGTTGGCCCATTCTATGCCAGTGTCACACGTCATTTACTTTCAATACTTTTATTTATACTGTGGTTTTACTAAGATAATAATTTTGCATATTAAAATAAAAAAAAAATAAACAAAAGATAATCGATTTATAAAATTTGCCGAATTTTTTTTCAATATTTGATATTTTATTTGCGTAAATTAGCGAATTCCTATATTTTACTTGTAAAATATTCCTTACTAATATTATAAATACAGAGGTGGGTTTGTTTGTTTGTTACCTTTTGGCAACTTAATAGCTCAACTAATTGTTATGAAATTTGGTGTACACATATTTGGGTTAATGAAAAATGTTCTTCTCCTATGTAAGTTATTTGTGTCCTGGTTACATGGACGAAGTCGCAAGTAAGAACTAGTGACTTTTCATAAAGATTATCCTATTATGATATGGCACTATTATACAAGACTTGCTTTAATGCAATTACGTATGCCCAGTTATTGTGACAACCGCAAACCGAATAATCAATTTATGAGACGTAACACCCAGACAATTTTATTAAGGAAGACGCGACAAAATGTTTGTAACATCTGACGTAACACGGGAGGTCGTTGCTAGAAAGTAATTATTGTTATAATTGTAATTTTTTTTATTATAATCATTTAAAAAAAGAACAGTATGAATAATGTGTATTTGGTTATAGAATAAATATCGATACAGACTATAATTTTCTGAAAATAGCGATATTCTGGTTTATACATGTTTCAGACTACATATATTAATTAGCGGCCCGCCTCGGCTTCGCATTTGCAAAGAGATAGAAAGATAAATTACTATTTTATGTTAGCTTTCATAGGCTAATTTTTTACTTGGTTTACATTAATGTAATTTTTTTTATAATGCATGTTACTCGCCGATATTATAGCTTTATATAGGTAAAAAAAAATTTATTCATTTAAGGAATTTTACAGTTTATCCATTACAAACAAACAAACATAACAATCACAGATTTCCTCTTTATAATATTACGTTTTAATTCATAAAATAGTCTAACATCTCATTAACCTATTTTAGTCATTGAACTGTTTTGTCTCTTTATTTTATACTACAATCCCTAGTGACAAAACATTTCTATAGCTAAAATAGATTTGTAATAGGATTTAGTTTTTATGAATTAGGGGTATTTTTTTTAATGGGTGAAAATGGAATGGTAACCCCGCCCGCGCTATCGGTATACACCGACGAGGCACCAGTGGAAAATGATAGGTCAGAATGAATGCAGGTCAGTTGACCCACCATAATGAATTCGATAAGAATTAACCATGATGGTTTCCAAGGAGAACCGCGTGGAGGCCGACCTGAGAGGGTATATTGCTAGCAATGGGGCTATTAACTATCCACTAACAATCTCTTTCCCCCTGAATAAGGGAGTCAGTATGGACCATTTATCCATACAATACGAAGAAAGGTAGTGCAATAATTGTTCTAAGAGAAACTATGTGTATATTCACTATAGATACCTCATGAGGGTTATTTACCATAGAGATACCATATAATCTGTAATAACATGCAATCCACCTGATAGAAAGCAGCAACTCCCTATCCCGTATATAAGTGATGGTTACCACTTTCCATCTGATTCTTGTTATTTCGACCGCAACATAGGAGTGCTTACATAATTTTTACATTTTCATATAACACCCACTCTGACAATCCCAGATCATATAACTACCTACTTGGTTATATAACAATTCCTAATCATTCATTTGAAACAGAATTATCGAATTCTGTTTTCAAATTTCAAACCATTTGAATTCGCATCGGCGAATTCAAATGGTTTGAAACGAAAACTGTCAAATGTTATATTTATAATAAGTTTACTGTTGTAATCTATTGAAGGAAACAATAAAGAGTATCTATTTATATAAAGGAACCTATATATAATGACAATTTATATATAACAATCAGTTTCTATGTTTCTAAAGGATTAGGGTTTGGAAGTAGTTGTCACGTTTGGTAGACGGGTTGATAACCGGTCCCGGCATAGAATAATTCATCCCTTCTTTTTCCGTGGGTGTCGTAAGAGGCGACTATGGAAGCTGGTGGGATTCACAGTAGCGTCTCTCTTAAAATATCTTCAAAAACCTAACTGCGGTTGCCAACCCGCTTGCCAAGCGTGGCAACTACTGGTAAAATCTTTCTTATGGGGGAGGCTATGATCGTCAGTGGATAGTTAACAGCGTATTCGCTGTATTCATTGTATTCAACAACAAGGAAAGTAATTAGGTCTTATTGTTATATATTAAAATGTAGATTACTGAATTAACCAATTAAATTAAAGAAGAAATTTGGATGTTTTTTTTTTAAATAGCATAATACTCTCTACCTTGTTCATCGGTAAATTTCGTCTTTGTGTAAGATTTGAACTATTCGCGGATTAAAACTAAATTGAAAACTTTCTATAACAGCTTGACCTTTAGAATCTAAATTACTATTTAGATTCTGAAGAAAGAAAGAAA